CGTGGGATTATTTATAGTTAAATCTCCTGCCTTGTATCTTCTGGTTATTTATCCGCTATATTGACAACCTACACCAGAATATCACTAAGAATGTTTCCTTCATTACTTAGTGAAAAATATAATCTCTTTTCTAAGAGATCCGTAGTTTCATAATCTAGAGGGATTAAAGATAGGCTTACTGCCGTTATCCTATCGTCAGCTGTAACAGTTGATGTCTTCACTAAAGAACAATCAAAATTTGCCAGAGTTGGCTTGATCTTGCGCTGTCTTATTATCTCATAGCTAAGAAATTTCTTGTCATGCCGCTTATTTATCAGATCCCGAACCCTCTGTGACTTCTGGTCCGTCATGCTCTGGTGTTCTTTAAAATCCTCTAAAGTTAGAACCATACCTAGATCCTTCTTTAATATAGATTTGAGATATATATATACATACCGTCGCAGAGTACTTCATTCTGTGTCTTACTAGTTAGCTACGTAAACAATTTTCAAATTTTATCCATTAAGACTGCCTAAAGCCAGTCTTACTCAAATCTTGCCTTTATTTCCTAGCTAACGGGAATTACTTACTTCGGAAAAATGGACGATAATTTATGTCATGGAGTTTCTTAAGTTATAACGACTATACATGATAAAAATCTCACGAATTTTTGTTAAATCATTAAATCAAAGAGTTAAAGGGGCTCTTTGAATGCTATTATAGAAGAAAAATGTAGATTCTGCTAATAAGTGACAAATACAAAAAGCAAAATGGCATAGCTTTTCATTTGCTACAGCCTCATTTTCCAGCACTGATAGAGTATGAGCTTTTTTTAAAACTCAGCTATGTATCTTAGAGCACATAGAATAACGAAACTCACATTATTTTCTCTGTTATTATTGCTACGTATTCTTTCAGCACGGGATGGATGACTGAGTGCATTCCTGGCCCATGCCACAAAGTGGCATGTCTATCCATATCCACATTAATTATTTCTACTGAGGAGGTCCTTTCAAAGATCTTGACCTTTACCTTTCCAAATGGTAAGGACTTTAGAGATGAACTCTTGTTAGAATTGATAAATTTAATAGAGAGTTCTCAGAGAATGCGAGGAGTAACACGGATTTAGGCGATGGATGAACATATAAGGCTGTAATTAGTGATCTGACAGAAAGCTTGGAAGTTAAACTTATAGGTTTTCTACAAAAATTTATAAGTTGTAGGCAACTAAAAAATTGGGAAATGAACTCACTCAGCGATATGCTAGAACTAGAAAGGCGTATTTTCTGCCAAAATGCACAAGGAATTTAACCTACTTATGAGTATTTGCAATAACAGAAGTAATGTAGCCCGCAAAATATCACTATTTATTTGTTAAAGTGAATCTCTGAAACTTGTAATTTTTTATTAAGAATTCA